TGCTGTCAACGACATTGTTAATCACGCATGTGATTTTCGAACTCTGGCATGGAAAAATGTCAGTAAAATAACCTCCATCGGACCTGGGCCGGGCCGGGCGGGCCAGGCAAATCCAAGGGCGGGCTCGGGCCGGGCCGCACTAAAATTAGAACGGGCCGGGCGGGCCACCACTTTAGCTGGGCCGCGTTGGGCCGGGCTGGGCCATAAAAATGAGGCCCGTTTCGAGCCCTGTTATCCAGTCCATGTAAATTAATCGTTTCGTATAGATCACGATAGATTGCCGGAATAGAACCTATATTATGCGAGAACAAAAAAAAAGACTCTGCAAACTTATTCATTTTTGAAACTACCTCCACTTAAATCCATCGGCAGTTTTGTATAAAGTTTGACTCGTTGACTTTCTTTTGAAATAAAAGAAAACTGAAATTAACAACATATTTATCTAAAGAGATAAAACGCAAAAGCTACGAAGCAAATATTTCGATAGATGACACTGGTTTACAAATTTAAAAACACGTAAAAGTTTGAAATAAATTTTAAATATTTCTATATAATGAAAATATGATTCTAATTCAGAAATATATTTTTACTAGTATATATTATAGTAAAAATGAAGTTCTGATAGCTACAGCAACGAACTCAATTGAACGATGGTTGAATTCTTTTTTTATAGTTTTCAATAATTGTTTACTTTGATTGATTTTAGATTTGCCTCAATAAAACGAATGCATGATGAAGTAAGTAGAAAACAAACGGAAAACTATCAAAAGCGTCTACAAAAATTAAAAGAAGAAGAAATGAGTTCCCTTAAAACAAGTTTTATTTTTAAGTAAAAAACTAATTTTTCATTTGAATAAATCTATCTTGGGGACTATATATATTTAAATAATAATCGGTTTATTGATAATGAGAATTTACACATATTAGTCTTTCTTCTTCATAATTTAAATGAAATTAATATAGATTAATTCTAAATAATTTAATAGATATACGTAAGTATCTCATACTAGACAGAGAAAAAAATAAATTTCATTCTATGCAACAACTATAATCAAATAGAGATAAGAATATTAAAACTGTGTAAATCTTATCTTTATACTATGACTCACAAAGAGATATTTTATTTCATTCATAAGAAAATGTTTTGAAGTTCATTCTAAAATCTAAATTTAAATATATCCTATTATAGATTATAATTCATTGAAAAAAAATAAAATATAATAAATTTTTATTTTTAGTCGTGATTTATTTTTAACATCAAAAAATGATACTAATCAATCTGATGCTTCATTATCACAACAACATCATTACCATCGATTCCAATTTCTGAAGATAATCATAGTGACCAAGAAGAAGAAGAAAAAGAAATTATTCGTCCAAGAGTACCATCACTTCAAACAGAGGTAAACAATCATATATTATTTTTCTTTTTTTCTCTTTTATTCTTGTTGTGATTTAAATGCCCGTAAGAGACAAACAATATCTTTTATGATACATTCTTATGTATAAAAGTAGAAAAAAAGGAATAAATACGAGTAACTTATTTCGAAACGAGAAAAAAAAAGCTAAAAGAATGACAATAACAAATTTTTTGTATTTTAGTAACAAACAACAACGATAATGGATTTTAGAGAAAAACAAAAATTTTATCAACACGAAAACAATCATCATCATTTATAATTGGTTGATTTTTTTTTCCTTGAAGAAAAATGAAAACAAAAACGGAATATTCCTTGTCAATCTTTTCGTTATATATATTTATATACTTTATTACAATTACTAAAGTTATATAAAAAATGACATCTACAATTGAAATTACTTCTTTAACAACTATACCAATAAATAATTCAAAGATTTGTAATACAACAGATATAAAAAGTAAGTTGATTACTAAATAAAAATTTGTAATGCATTACTCTTCTCTTTTTTTCTTCTAGTTCAAAATACATCATTCACTAACGATACTTCTTCTTCTTGAAAATTAGCATATTCTTATTCAATTATTGAACAAATTCTTGAATGTCCTCTATGTCTTAATCGTTTTCATGATCGACGTGCATTACCATGTCAACATATATATTGTTGTTCATGTCTTAAAACAATTATATTATCAAATAAATCTTATAAAAAAATAATTTGTCCATTATATCATCAAACATTTTCATATAAAAATTTTGAACAATTTTCTAAATCATATATACATAATCAATTACTTGATTTAATTCCAATTAATTATGATATTAAAGGAAAATGTTTTAAATGTAAAAAAAATAATTTATTAAATTTATGTCCATGTTGTGATTATCATTTATGTAAAATATGTTTTGAAAATGATCGTCAAAATTTATTAATTAATCTTAAAAATATTTTTCATTTATATTATAATAATCGTGAACATTTACAAAAAATAACATCAATTGAAATAAATAATTTATTATATAAAACAAATTTTTTATTAAATAATTCTCAAACAATAGAATTTAATGATATTTTATCAATATTTTATGATTTAAATTTTATTTATCAACAAATAAATAAATTACCAATAACAATAACTAAACGAACATATGAAAATGATAATGAAAATTTATCAGATATAAAACATAGGAAAATTGAATCAACAACTTATTTAAATCAATCACAAGAACAAATTATTGATGATGATGATATTATTTATATTAAAACAATACAAACAAAATCTACATCAACATTTGATGAATCATAGAATTTATCGAGACGGATGAATCAAAAAAAAGAACTTTTTCTTTCTATATATAAATCCCTATTTACATCTAGTCTTATGTGCTTTTGTTTTTTTTTTGTTTTCAATGAATATAAACAAGAATATATTTAGGAAAAATAAATCGATTATATTTTATTTAGAAAGATGAACCATTTAATAATCAAAATCAAGGAACAAAGAAAAACGTCAAGGTCTTGCTCATTATCAAGCACCACCAAAACGTCGTCAAATATGTCCAAAAACAACTGATACTACTAATAATACAAAAAATGAGCTAACAAAAAAATAGAATGCATTTAATTGTATAGTGTCATAGGAACAGTCCCGACCATCGTAACTCGAGTTGATAATAAAATATTCTATGGTTTTAAACAAATTATCTTATAAATCATATAAATGAGATGACTCAAAAAAGTGCTAATCGTCAAACGAACGAGAGATGCAATACGAACAAAATCCTAAAATAGCTTTCTCTAGACCGCGATCAAAAAAAGCTTGGTTTCGTACATTTCTACTCTAAACAGTTGTATCTCCAATAGTTAGCCTATTGCTGTAGCGATATTGTATTTTTACGGTAGTTTTTCAATTCAATGCTGTGGTTCCTCTCAGATGCATGAGGAAAACTGATTTTCGACTCAGAATTTTTCATAGAAGCAGACCTGGACGAGATTAGTTTATGATGAAAGTTTCCGATCTTTTAATTTGCTCTTATTCTGAAATAAGTACAACAAGACCAGAACAATGAAAATATTTGAAACTTGCACTATAAACTATTCTCGTTAAAGTTTGTTTCTCTGGAAAATTTCAAGTCAAAATTCGAAAATAAATTTTCTTGAAAGAGATTACGGTATTCACTTGAAAAATATTATAAAAATGAAATATCTTCACAACAATAAGCTAAAGATCTGAACTATTTTTTAAATAATAATTTTGTATATATATTAGAAAGTACTAATTTGATGATCCTAGCAGAATTTCAATTCTAGACTTTCAAGTTTAGTCATAGACAAGAACAAAAAAATTATATTAAAGAATTATTTTTTGTTTAGCCTATTAAACGACCAACAAGTGCTAGTAGTACAAGTAGTAATTCTCGTTCTGCATCAATAAATCAACGAACACGTTCTAATTCATCATCAGCATCTATGATAACAAATCGACAAATATCAACAACATCACGTTCATCATTAAAAACAAAATCGACTAAACAAATAAATAATATATCTACTCAAAGTAATTTATTAGGTAAAGTTGATTTAGATGATGAAGATGATTTATTAACAAAATATCAAACAAAAAAACATTCAATAGAATTAAATGATATTGACAATAATAATAATAATAATGAATTTCTATCAACAATGAATAAATTTAATTCTAATATTCAAACAATGATTGATTCAAAATGGAATGATATGAATCAAGACATAATTCCAGAGAGATAACCCAAAAATGCTAGTCATCAAATAGATAAATTCTAAAATACTTTTCTCTAAACTGAGACTAGAAAAACTTGAACCGGTACATCTTTAGACACAACTCATTCGATAGTCATCATATATCGTCAATATTTAAGAAAAGAAGTTTGCTAATATTTTCAATATCTGTTGAATATTTAGTTTGTTTATATGACAATTCAATAGAACGAAAAGAAAGATTTGATTTTTTTTGTTACCAATAAGCAATTGTAATTTTATACAGTTCAGAGATGAGCATAGAACACAACAATCCTATCTTACCTTGTCTCGCAGTATAGGACAGCATTATCCATGTGATTCAAACTGGACAGAAATCGCTAGTATAGCAAAAGTCAACCGACAATAGTTTGATACTTAACGGATCGGCTACCTTCTGAATGCTACACTACGGTAGTATAACGACTGATGTTCTCTGATCGATATACTGGTGGTAATGGAAATGTTCAGTAAGATAGACAAAGACAGTACAAGAACACATACATTAAAAAGTATTCACATCTCATTGAACAGAAATCCTCTTTCATATTTGTTATTGAAGATACTATAAGACAGAAATAAATTCTTTATACATTTCTATAATGATAAAAGAATTATTACTTTTTTTTCTTCTGTTTAGATCATTATCAGATATTGTCAATTCTGATTATCCAAAAACATATATTGATAATGATGAATCAAATCATCCAACTACTACTCTTGATTATAAATCATTATTAACTATGGCTACACATACATCATCATCAGCAACAAAACTTCTTCAACAACATCAACAAACTTTATCATTACTTGATCAATCAACAATAAAACGACAACCTTTATCAATAACTAATAATAATTCAATTATTCCAACATCTAATATTAGTATACCAACAACAATGACAAAAACTAAAAATATAACATTTAAAGAAAATATATCAATACCAACAAATAATTCAATAATTGAAGAAATTCATCATAATGATGGACGTATTGAACGTATTAAATCAGATTTATCTAAACAAATTGTATTTCCAAATGGTTCAAAACAAGAAATAAGTTCTGATGGTAAACAAATTCGTGTTCATTTTTATAATGGTGATTATAAAGAAAAATTATCTGATGGTCGTTGTATATATAAATATGCAAGTACAAATACAACTGAAACTGAATATCCAGATGATACACATATATATGAATTTCCAAATGGACAAATTGAAAAACATTTACCTGATGGACGACAAGAACATATATTACCTGATAAAACAAAAAATATTTATTTAACCCTTTGAGGACGGGTGGGTGAAAAATCACCCACCTATTTTTCAGTAGAGAAAAAAGTGTTTAGTTCATATTAAACTATTAAATATGTAGGGTCATTAAGGTCATACACAACTGCATGTGTCATCTCATACTTTTCTTTTCTTTCTTTCCTTCTCTTATATAAATTCTTTTCAAATATCCTTCGTTGTTGCTGCTAAGATACAGTGACGTCATAATTTCTCTCTTCTCCTCTGATCTTTTGTTTTTCGAGAATATTCTCATTCTCTGTTTAGTATATATATACTCCCATTCTCGTTGATGAAATTACGTTGTTCTTGAATTTGCAAAGGATATAATTTCTCTTTCGAACTTGTACTCTTTATTTCTTTATACCGTTTTTACAGTTAAAACTAATCCAATGGAATTCTATGGAAATAATGAAATCGACGACGAGTCTTATGATTCATATGCCAGTGATGATACTAGCGAGAGTGACTTCGATTTTGATTACGATGAACTAGCCAATAACTTAACCCTTTGAGGACGGGTGGGTTATTTTCCACCCACCTATTCTTCAGTAGAGAAAAAAAGTGTTTAGTTCACATTAAACTATTAAATATGTAAGGTCATTAAGGTGATAAATAAATGCATGTATCATCTCATACTTTTCTTTTCTTTCTTTCCTTCTCTCATATAAATTCTTTTCAAATATCCTTTGTTCTTGCTGTTAAGGTACAGTGACGTCATAATTTCTCTCTTCTCCTCTGATCTTTTGTTTTTCGAGAATATTCTGATTCTCTATCGGGTATATATAAACCCGTTCTCATTGATGAATTTATATTGTTCTTAATGTTGGAAAAGATTTATTGTTCCTCTTTCGCTAAGAACTGGAAGAATGTCGTAATCTTTAGATACAACAAGTAAAAAAAATATCACATAAATTCTCAAACTTTTTATATTCTAGATTTTTAAGCAAGCTTCATGTACTTTTTCATTCAGAGAGAAATAAAACTACTTGTACTCTTATTCCTTTGTATTCTGGTCATAATTAAAACTATAAACAAATGGAAAAACAAAATGATTGAAGAACTGGTTTTCGAAAAAAATTCCGTCCTCAAAGGGTTAAATGAGCTTGAACTTTCTGATGAAGATTTGGATGAATACGAATACGAAGAGGAGCTGAATCCAATGAATGAAAGTAATATCGCAAATGGCGGCTTTACCTCAATCTCTCTCAAAGAGCCAACTCCAGTTTCAGTCTTTAGAACATTTTTTACTGAAGAAATTTAAAATCTGATGACTGATCAAACAAACATTTACGGAAAAGGAAAGAAACGAAGTAACAATCACAAGAAAACCAGTAGCTGGAAAGATGTGAGCAAAAAAGATATTGAATCGTTTCTCGGGTTGATTATTCTAATGGGTATCAATAACTTGCCAAATATGAAACTTTATTGGAGTAAAGATATGGTATTCCATAATACATTTATTTCTTCGATCATGTCAAGAGATCGCTTTCTTCAAATTTTTTATAATTTACATTTGGCAGATAACTCATTGGAACCAAAACGAGAATCTAAAGACTACAGTAAAATTTACAAAGTTAAGAATTTTACAGAAATTTTACGAAGAAATTTTCAAAAAAATTATAAATTTGGTCGCTATGGTACAATCGACGAAAGTATGATAAAATTCAAGGGAAGATCAAGTCTCAAGCAATATTTGCCTTCAAAACCAATAAAAAGAGGTTATAAAGTTTGGTGTTTATGTGATCCAATCACTGGTTATTTATTCAATTATCAAATCTATTTAGGAAAAGAGGGAACCAGTCGAAAAGAAACACCTTTAGGCGAACGGGTTGTTTTTGATCTTATCTCTGGTCATAATTTCCAAGAGAAACATCTATATTTCGATAACTTTTTCACTTCTCTCAGATTATTAGAAAAGCTAAAGCTACAGAACATAAAAGCCTGTGGAACTATTAGACCAGATCGAGCAGGTATACAGTCGGATTTTGCCAACAGAAATAATATGGAACGAGGAGATTACAAGTCAATAATTGCATCGAACAGCATTGTCTTTATATGGATGGACAGCAAACAGGTTTTTATGGCTTCAAATTATCATAAAGACAACGAAGTTGTTCCGATTTCCCGTCGTTTGGAAAATGGTCAACGTATTACAATTGACTGTCCAAAAGCAGTAAAAGATTATAATCAGTTTTCACATGGAGTTGACCGACTTAGCCAAAGAATATCGTGCTACAATCTCGATCGCAAGTCTAAAAGGAACTGGCTGCGAATGTTTATTTATTTTCTAAATGCATCTATTTTTAATTCATTCATTTGTTATAATCAGCTAGCTCAAGATAAGTTAACATACTTAAACTACATGGTTTCGCTCGCGAAGTCTCTCTGCTCCGGCAGTGAACGAATAAGTCGTGGAAGACCTCCTGAAAACAAGTCTAAACTAGCATCACCAAAAACTGTTCTTAGTTTTGACAATGAAATGCATTTGCCTGTGACAGCACAAAGAAGAAGATGTACTTATTGTAGTACCAAAGAAGCAGATTTTCGAACCAACATCGAGTGCTTTACTTGCAAATTGCCATTTTGTTTAAGAGATAAAAAAAACTGTTTTTTTGATTATCATAAGGTTTTTATGTAGCCATTTTGAGTTAAAATAAAATAAAAAGGTTGAAAAATGTTTTTGCAATTATAAAAAAATTCCGTCCTCAAAGGGTTAATTTAAGTTTAAAGTGTTTCACTTTAATTAAAGTTAAAGTGTTTTTAAAGTTTAAAGTGCCACCCCTATCCTAGAACTGAAAGATAACTGGGAAAGAAATCAGAACATGTTGCCGCTCAGTTTGCTTATTGAATTCTATTTTGAGACCTATCATTATTAAAGATAGATATACCAAAAAATATAAAATTGGGGTATGGGTGTGTGGGTGTGGTTGTTGCTCTTTTCGAAACACACTAACACCCACATCCACACCCGAAGGTTAAAACAATGGCGTTTTATGTAATATGATAGATTTCGTACAGTGTGGTAATCGATGAACAACAGTAAAAGCAATTGGATGGAGGTGATGAAGGAGGAAAAAAAACATCATCAATAATTCCTTTCGGTATTAAATATTGTAAAGAAAAAAAATTATATTTTACATCATAGCTTTTTATTCAGATAATATCAGAACTATATTAAAGTTACAACAAAGGAAAATAATTATAGACATCTTTCGAATAAACGATTTGACATTCAACAATTAATCGATTCACTCTAGCACAATTACGTCGTGTTTCATCTCTTGTAAAATTTTTTGTCACGTTTTTCAACTCATAAGAAGTGATTTTTAATTCTCTTAAACGTGGTAAATGTGTTTTTGTTTCATTGAGAAAATGTTCAACATAATAAGGATGTGCATGTTTGATGTTAAGTGAAATAAGATGCGGATATTCAATAATTGAGCACCAATCTTTATCACGAAGATGAAATTCATGACATCTCAAAAATGGTGGCTTAATATTCCAAATAGATAACTTTTGAAGACATGGAAAAGCTCGAGTAAGTCGAACGAAAAATTCATGTTTGAATTCATCTTTATCCCATAATTTCAAATGAGTGACAGAATTAAATACAACATTTGGTATATTATTTCCGATGTGTTGAAGAAAATGAAATTTAAATGGAAGTGAAAAAATATGACATATGATTTTGCAAACTTCCAAATAATCTACTATAGAAGCCACCTGTCCATATTTCATATTGGTAAAACTTCGTTGAATATTTGAATTAAATATGCGAATATCTGTATCATCATCAATGTCATTTTCAGAAGCGAAATAAAATGTGAATGTATGAAGTCGTGGCATATGAATAAGAATTTCATTATCAAGATGAGTACTAGAGATAAATGTTGATTCACCCAAGATATAAAGATATAAAGTTAATTCTTCAAGATGTGACATTCGACGAAGAAGAGGTAAAACTTGAATTTTATATCCTCGAATACGACGATGACATGTTAATGAGAAACATTTTAAATTAGATAGATCAACCTGAAAAAAAAAGAGAGCAAATATTTATAAATTCATCTTTATCAGTCGAACTAAGATATAAATTCACATCAACCATTAATCAATAGATATAAGTCATTTTCAAAGTTCTATTTTTAAATGTTTGTGGTATTCTATGAAATATATGTATCCTCTAGGAAATAATGATAATAAATTTGTATTTATTAAGTCTTTATGATGAGGTGTCCAAATGTCGAATACAAAATATTTACAAGAGAAATGTCGCAATTTCTATAATAATACAGAATAATGATGGGGCATTTCATTGTATATTTTCTTCTCTTCATATTCACTCTCGTAGCTTCTCACCTCTTATTTTATTGCAGTTCAATTTTCTTTTCTTATTTTAATAACATTCAACATTTTGTTTTTAGTCGACGTTTTGTTTTTCGAGAATCTGTTTTGTCGATATTGACATTTTGCTAATTTCACATTTCAAAATATTCAATAAGATTCATTATATAGCCATAGCCATTACAAGAATAATTATTAGTAAAAAAAAATTAATACAGTAAAACTTCTCTTAGTAGACATCTTTCCATAGTGGACATCTCCGTAAAGTAGACACATCGTGATCCGATGGAACGATATTTCCTGGAATTGAATCTCTGCACAGTGGATACCTCCATATAGTGAACATTTTTCGATAGTCCCTGCTATCATTTTTTTTTTGCTAGAAATCAATCTCTCTATAGTGAACATGATTATATAGTTCTATCATGGATACTTTTGAATATTCCCAATAGTGTTCAAGACAGGAAGATTTTACTCTATTTGAATAACTGTTGATATTTCAAAAATAGAAATGCATAAAAAGAGAAGTAACAATCACTACTAGATAGTTATTTTATTTATAACACTCTTCAGATCCTAGAAAAAATGTCTATTCTTTGTAAAAAATCTTGCTTTTACAAAAGACCTATCGTCCCTATAGTGGGTACCTCTCTATAGTAGACACTTTTGAAAAGTCCAAAGAGTGTCCACTATAAAGAGGTTTTACTGTAGTTCTGTTAAAATAAATATGCTCATTTCAATAATAAAAGTCAATGAGGCTTAAAACAAAACTCGATTTGTTAAAATGTTTATTTTGACAACCAGGTGTTTTATTTGTTTTAACATAGATGAATTAATTCAACAAAATCATTAGAAAATATATAAAATAGAATATTTTCTATCAGATTATTTAATGACTGCAATAGTTGATTAACTATTTTCAAATGAATAATGATTTAATTATGAAATAATCTCGAATAACATCAAAATAATTATAATAATCTATTTTATTTATTTCTTGATAATCAAAATTAAAATATCATATTTATTATTGCCGAAATTTCATTGTTTATTACACTTCTAACTAAATTTTATTTTATGTTCAATAGTGGCATGTGAAACCTTCTTCTTTTCCTCAAAACATGTACTCCTTCTCCTCCTTTTTACGTTGGAATCCTCCTATTCCTCTTTTTTATCACTTAAGTTGTGAAATCAGTATCTTCAATATCTTAAACAAAAATATTTGGCGTTTCTACAATGCAGAAGATATTTGAAATGATTGAATTTATTACTGCAGAAAAAAATGTATTTTAATTTTCAATCAATATCAATCTTTATTTCAAGTTTTTGGCAATTTAGAATAATCATCAGTATGCAATAAACATATACAAATAGAAAAAGAAGTATACATATCCCTTTGAAAAAAAGTAGACAAAAATCAACTTTTTACTACTTTTAAAGTTGTTTTTTAAACAGCAAATAGTACTTATAAGTGAATCTTTTTTATGTAATTTTCATACTTTTTTGACTAAAAAATACTATTGAGTACTATTGGAAGTGTGAAAAAGTAATAAAATTTAATTTATTTTACTATATTAATACTAACAGTAATTAATAATCTTGTAAACATTGAAAAGTATGTTCAATATTAATATAGTAAAATAAATAAAATTTTATTATTGTTTTTCACCTTTCTCAGTAAATTTTATTGCTTTTTCATACTTTCAATAGTATTTAATACTACTTTTTGGTCAAAAAATATGAAAATTACATAAAAAGGTTCACTTATAAGTACTATTTGCTGTTTAAAAACAACTTTTAAAAATACTAAAAAGTTGTTTTTGCCTCCTTTTTTTTCACATGGGATATATATATATATATATATATTAGAAGTTTTAATAAGTAGCATCAAAAGATAATATAATTACAATGTGCTAGAAGGAGCAAAAAAAAGCAAAAGAAACGACGAACAACATTATACAATAATCATACAACATTTTTCGCTTTTTTTTCCTGTGTTGTTCCTTCTAGCAAATTATAATTACATAATTTTTTTTTGTGTAACATATCAAGAAGTTCTTAATAAGAATTTATGAAGCAAGAAAAAAAATACAATAAATGAATAACGTAATAGAGTTATTTCAAGTTGTACAAAATGATCTATTCATTATATTTTTTCACTTTTCTCTTTTATTGAAAAAATTCAATTTTCTCAGTATATCTTTATGTAAAATGCGATTTTTTAACAGCGTAATCTTCATAATTCAGCAACCATAGGAGCTAGAGAGCTAAATTTTTGTGTGGCAGTGGGACACTCAAAGACCAGTAATATGTAAAAAAAATCGTCTGAATCGGTTCATCAAAACGAAAATTATTGACAAAATACAACTAAAAATTCAACCCTAGCAAAAAGTAGCAATTCAGTCATATGAATATTTTTTTTAATATTCATATATGGTCATGTTCTGACGATTACAATGAGAAATTGTTGAAAACTCAAGTCAAAGGAAAACTTTTCTTGAAAATTAAAATACATTTTTTTGTTAGAGGACTATACCCAATCATTTCAAGAAAACTATTATTAGATAATTACATTTTCGTTAAATATCTCTTCATGTAACACGATTTAATATTTCATAATTGAAAAAAATAAATTCAGACGATATTTCTGTTAAGCGATAACTGAATCAAGATGCAAAATTATCATTCATTCATTTGTACATTGTGTAAAACCAAGGATTTATATTGTGAAAATAAACTATGGCAATCTATCGAATGTCGTATAGACAATAAAAAAGCATCGTGATAATTTAAAATGTTACATAGAATACAATTTTCACGAGAAAACAGAAATCCTCCTATTTTTCTCCTTTTTAATGTCAGATCCTTCTAAAAATTTTCAATGACAATCCTTCTAATTCCTCCTTTTTTGGAATAGAGCGTTCACATGCCAGGTTCAATATTAAAGACTAATTAGAAAACTATAAGAACACA